ACATTACTTTATTAAAAAACTCAAAATGGTTGGTTGTTACTACATTATCAAATAAATTAAGGATTATAAATAATGATGGTGGAATTGCAGAAACAATTCAATGCCAATGCAAAGATAGCTTATTAGATGCAACTATATTTGGCAAAAATATGCTTGTGTTTGAAACCAGCAAGCAACTTCATTTTCATAGTATCTAGAATAACTGCTTTCAAAACTTTATTTTTTCACTGAATGAAAGTGAGAACAAATCAATAAAAAAGTAGGCTAAGACCCTGATGGTAGTGGCGAAGTCAGGTGAAGGGCAACTATCTTAAGGGTGAGGAAAAGACTTACTCCCTCGAATGTTTGTTCTCAGCTTTAATTGTTTCTTCGACTATGTGGCAGATCTTTAGTAAAAATTTCAACTATTAAATTATGTATTATTCATTAGAAAATAACATGTTATTCGAAAAATGTCACGACAGATTAAATAAGGCTACAAAAGTTGATTTAAAATCAAATTCAAAATTTCTTTTTCTGTTTGATAGATTAAAGAGAAAGAAGCTTTTCAATAAAAAATTTCTTCATCAGAAATTTCTAAATCAAACAAAGAATTCAAGATAAGAGGATGAAAGTGTTATCTTTACCTATATATCTACTAATAAAGTTTTGCATGTGCTTGATAGATTTTCAATTTCAACAGCTTTAGATTGATTTATAATAACAATATGTCAATTGTTATTTCGAGATTTTATTTTATCAAGAAATCTTAGAAATTATACATTTTTCACTAAAACTCAAACGATACAATACGAGTGGAATTCATCCATATATTATAAAATGATTTTTATTTATAAATTATATTTATAAAAATACAAAAAGAAACTTTCCATAAATAAGAAATATTTGATATCAAATGTTTTAAATGTCGGAGTATAAAATAATGACCAAAATCATATATTTATATTTATTTATTAATAACTAATATATTATGTACCATTATATATGTAAAATAAATTACATATGATCATATAATAATCTATCCTTGAATGAAACGTCCGCGATATTTTTATTTCTAATCTCTTACTTCCGATTTCTTTCTTTTTGTATACGCACTTTAAAATCAATATCAGTTTATCCTTGTGTCACATGCTTTACTTGTACACGTGGTGTGACTTAATCTTTGTGCTTTCATTCTAACTCCCACTCTTTTCTATTATTGTCTTTATGATCGGCCCATATACTATATAAGGAACGAAACAAATACAGCTAGTTACGATTTCTCATATTAAAGATAAACTTACATAGACACCAGTCTTCTAGTAGTAACTGTTATATCAGAAATCGTCATAGATCATTCTTATCCATTTCAAATGATAGAATAATGAGCAGTCATCCTATTCCGCAATGTTGAACATTTCAGGAACCAGTTCCGCTTCGGAATCGATTCCGTTCAATTCCGGGAACTCGATCGACACATAATATCCAATACCCACTCAAAAACTGATCGAGTTCCGTCCAATTCCGGAATTGGTAGGAATTCTGTATAATTCCGGAATCGGTAGGAATTCCGTATAATTCCGGAATCGGTAGGAATTCCGTGTAATTCCGGAATCGGTAGGAATTCCGTGTAATTCCGTAATTAGAAGTAGTTCAAGCAATTCCGGAATTGGTGGGAATCGGTAGGAATTCCCAGGAATTCCG